CTCAGGGCTGCTCTCCATCCATTCTCCACTTTCTGTTTCCTCAAGGAAGCCATTCCAGCATAGTGCTGGAAGGGTTTGTGGTGTCCTTATGGCCACCAGCCACACCATCAGGAGGACGTTAGGGCAATGCGTGTGGCCAGCAGACACAGCCTGTGGTCGGGTAGCCCTCTATTATGGGGAAGATTTACTCTGAATGGTTCATCTGTGTGTCTATTATGGATGAGCCAAGACCATGGAGCGCTGTGTACGCTGCAAGCTGTGGACGCAGAGGGTGGACAGGCTTTGAGCTGAAGAGCTTGCAGCCAGCACAGACAGGGTTACCCTGTGACGAGAGGTGGAGAGTTGAACATGCCGGCAGGGGAATAGTGCTGTGGTGGGCCAGAAAATGTGTTAAACCTGCAGTGTTTCTTTAAAGTGTTAAGTAAACAGTCTTCAGCCTGGAGAAGAGAAGGCTCCGGGAGACCTTCCAGCACCTTCCAGTGCCTAAAGGGGCTCCAAGAAAGCTGGAGAGGGGCTTTGGACAAGGGTGTGTAGTGACAGGACACGGGGCAATGGCTTTGAACTGAAAGAGGGGAGATTTCGATGGGATCTGAGGGAGAAATTCTTCCCTCTGAGGGTGGTGAGGCACTGGCACAGGTTGCCCAGAGAAGCTGTGGCTGCCCCATCCCTGGCAGTGTTCCAGGCCAGGTTGGATGGGGCTTTGGGCAACCTGGTGTAGTGGAGGGTGTCCCTGCCCATGGCAGGGGGTTGGAACTGGATGATCTTTGAGGTCCCTTCCAACCCAAACCAGTCTGTGATTCTTTGATAAAAGAAGATCTGCTAAGTGGAAAGGGAGGAACAGACAGTGGACAGAGAAGCAGATATGGAGAAGAGATTTTGAGAGGGAAGGGGGAACCAGGAATCAGTACTGAGGAGAGAAAGATCCTTCAACTTACAGAAGTGAGGGCCCTGCCCTGGCAGTTTCTACAACTACTTCTGTGACTTGAGCCCATCTGCTTGGTTCCTCCCTTACATTTCCCCAAAGTCCTTGTGTTAGAGAGGAGAGGAACCACCAAGGCTTTAGTATTCACGTGACATGGAGGACTTCTCTGCGCAGTTCTTTTTTTAGGGAGATGGAAGGAGATTTGGCAAGTGCTTTTCTGTCTCTCTTCCAAGTCACATTATCCCCTGCAGACGATGCCGGTGTTGTTTGTGGAGGTGAGCGGAGGGAGAAGAACCGAGAGCTGGACTTGATTTAGATGTGGTGCTAGATCAAATCCTAGGAGATTCAGTCTGTAGGTTCCTCTGAATGTACAGAGGGTTATCCCATCCGCGGGTGTGCCTCAGGCCAGAGAGGGTGGGACCATTGTCCTTGTGATCCTTCACAAGAGAGCTGGTCCAGCCCGTGCTATATTCGATAATATTTGCTGCACGAGGTGGTCCCTCTGCTCTAGGAAGTAAGGATTTGTGAGAAGGAGGCTGATCTTCTTCCTTGTCAGCAGATATTTCACAGCAGACTTTGGTAGAAGCAACGTCAGACTGCTAGTTTTTGAATCAGCAAAGCTCGCCCCTGCAGCACGTTTTGGTTCCAGTTTCCTATTATGGAGAAATTAATTAATCTGGTTTATCTTTTTCCCCGTCAGGAAGGAAGGAATCGGGAGCGCTTTTTCTGGGAGAGATCTGGATGGTTTTTCACCATCTAAAAGTCAGGATCTGGATGTGAAAGAGGGAGCGAGGAACCAGGATACAGCAAACGCTGATGCAGAGTTCTCAAAGCCTGCTCCCGTGGAGGATTCTCAGCGGCCCAGGTAAGCCTTCCCGGCAAGGGAGCGTATCCCCTCTGCCAGAGGGTGGTTTACACCGGAGTGATTGCGTTGTGTTCCCCTAGGACAACGACGTGCTTCAAACTAGAGAGGGGAGGTTCAGAGATCTCCATTGCTTGGATGCAGAAACACATAGTAGGACAGCAGTGGTTGTATGGACACCCTGTGTACCAAAGCTTGGTGGTGGTGGTCATCTTCTCTATCTGCTTTGAGGTCTGCCCTGATCAGTTGCTCTCTTAAGTGTGAAGTCTCTGAAAATCGTAGCGCTCTTCAGCCTTTGGTTAGTAGTAAAAGTCCAGAGAGACCTCACGTCCAGCCACAAAACCCCACACACTTGTGAAAATGGGTCAATAGCTGCACAAGATCATGGCAGGAGGGACCATATGGGAGGGGATTCTGCCCCTCTGCTCTGCTCTCGGGAGATGTTCCTGCAGCGCTGCGTTCAGCTCTGGGGTCCCCAACAGCAGAAGGACATGGAGCTGCTGGAGCGGGGCCAGAGGAGGCCACGGAGATGATGGGAGGGCTGGAGCACCTCTACTCTGGAGACAGGCTGGGAGAGCTGGGGCTGTTCAGCCTGGAGAAGAGAAGGCTCCGGGGAGACCTTCCAGCACCTTCCAGTGCCTAAAGGGGCTACAGGAAATCTGGAGAGGGGCTTTGGACAAGGGTGTGGAGTGACAGGACACGGGGCGATGGCTTTAAACTGAAAGAGGGGAGATTTCAATGGGATCTAAGGAGGAAATTCTTCCCTCTGAGGGTGGTGAGGCACTGGCACAGGTTGCCCAGAGAAGCTGTGGCTGCCCCATCCCTGGAAGTGTTCAAGGCCAGGCTGGATGGGGCTTTGAGCAACCTGGTGTAGTGGAGGGTGTCCCTGGCCATGGCAGGGGGGTTGGAACTGGGTGATCTTTGAGGCCCCTTCCAACCCAAACCAGTCTGTGATTCTGTGATTCAGTATCGAGACAGAGAGTGGACAATGGTCAAAAATGCAACAATGTGCCAGTCATCTGCTTGTACCATGACATGAATTTAACATGGGAGGGCAGCACTGAATTGCATTTCATTTTGGATGGAGGTGATGGGGTGAAAAACGGTAAGGCTACCATGACCATGTACTCGTTGCAAGAGGACGCTCTCAACAGCACAAAGCCGTTCAACTCCCAGCAGCTCAGCCAGGACCCCACAGAAACCAGTCTGGACACCACTTTTCCCATCACCAGCCATCTTTTCTTGCCAAGAGCTCTCAAGTTAGACACATCTCCGAAGTATTGTGAGCACCTCCATTGCCTGCGTTGTAGTTGCCCAGTCCTTGCTTGTTCCTGCTGCCCAGGGAGAGCATCACAGCAAAGCTGTCCCAGAAGAATTTACTCCTGAAGCTCCTTAACATGTTATCACGTTCCTCTGGGCCCTCTGCACGCATTTTAACGTTCTTCTAGAAGTCCTGTGGCTGGTAGAGAAAGCTGCTGCTGCAGCTGCATCAGGCACAGCCCAG